TTTCTGACTCGAGTAAAAGCCATAAACTTCAAATGAAGTCTGTTTATATTGTTTTATTTCAAATTGGCCTTTTTACATGTATTCATTGAAATTTTATTCAAAGAAACTGTTTTTACCTTTCCCCTTGCCTGAGACATGTTGACCCTCAGATTAAACGATCACCAGTCATGTCTATCTGTTTGTCTCGCTCTCTAAGGAGAGAGCAACCCTATGGTCTAGTAAGACAATGGAAACTTTGAAATTTCATTAGTTTTATTGTTCGTATGATTAAAAAATCTCAGGCATATAATGTCAGATACCACTGACAATTGAATGTATAAAATGAGATAAAGTGAAAGCTACCGATCAAGTGATAACAAACATGGGCTTTAAAATCCAGTTGACTGTACGTGGGAGGTGAGATATCCCATTTGTTATGATGTTCTACAAAGAATGAATTAAATTAGAGAATGCTGTAAAATGTCTAATTTCGAGATGAAAGTTGGAAGGAGAATCAAGAACATTAATTTCTGAAGGGGAAATCATGTTTGACTAACTTACTGGCAATATTTGAAGATACAATAGAAGGGTCAAAGAAAGTAATGCTGTTGAATGTGAACTTTCAAAAGGCATTCAATACAGTGCCACTTAGACTAATGAAAAAAGATTAGCTCGTGGAATAAAAGGGACACTGGCTGATAGGAAATGGTAGTGGTCAAAGGGTATTAATTCAGTCTGGAGGAAAGTTTGTAGTGAAGTTCCCTGGGGCTAATATTAAAACCCTTGCTGTTCCTGGTGCATATCAGTGCTCTCTGGTGTGCAGGAGACAACGGAGTGTCAGACTTCAAAAGGGAATAGACAAATTGAGGAGTGGGAATGAGCAGACAGGTAGCAGGTTAAGTTCACTGGAGAAGTGTGAGGTGAAGCATTATTGATAAGGGGATGCTGGAGCAGAGACACCTTGGTGTAAATGTGTGCAGATCATTGAAGAGGGGAGAACAGGTGGAGACAGCCATTAATAAAACATTCAATATTCTGTGATTTAATTTACAAGGGCATACAGCACAAAAGCAAAGCGATGACATTTGTTAGACTTCATCTGGAGTATTGTGTACAGATCTGGGCACCACTCTATAGTTAGGATGCGAATGCTTTGAAGAGAGTGCAGAAGAGATTGATTAAAATAGGATAAGGAACTTTGAGGATAGATTGGGATTGTTCTCCTTGGAAAGACGTCTAAGAGGAGATCTGACAGGAATTTTTGATCACGAGTGGTCTGGACAGTTAGCTAGGGAGAAACTGCTCTTTTTCACAAAAGGATTGCAAACAAGAGGTGACTTGCATACAAAACAACATTTTACGCAATGAGAGATTCAGGTCTGGAATGCACTGCCTACAGTTGTATTCATGGCAGAGTCCATTGAGGCATTTAAGAGGGCATTAAGTGATTTGTTTTTAATTTAAATAATGTGCAAGAGTATGAGGAAAAGCCATATCCTAATGCTCATTGGAAAGCCGGTACAGATGCTGCCTTGTCAGTGGCATTCTTAGTTAAGTTGATTTTAATCAAATAACATGCTTTGCAAATTGATGCTGTGCAATGGCCTCCTGCATTGTAACAGTTCTATGGTTTTGTGATGTAGGACAGCTTTGAAGCTGGAGCTTCTTTCTTGTGACTGTTGAACTTCTTGACAAGTTTTGCAACTATTGAGGCAAATGAGGATTATTCCACCACACACGTGATTTGTGTCTTTGTAGCTAGTGGAAAGACTTTATAGTGTCAAAGTGATCCACTCTGTGCAAAATTTCTGGTGTCCAGTTTGCTCCAGCAGTCTGATATTTATTTGGTTTGCTAAGTCAGATTTCTGGTCACAGGTCACCCACAGGATGTTGATAGTGGGGAACGCAGTTATGGTAATATTGCTGAATTTCAGAGACATAGATGTGCTCTCTCTATTTGATGGTCATTTCTTACTGCTTGTGTAATGTAAATACAACTTGCCGTTTATCAGCACAAGCCTAAATGTTGTCCAAAAGACTTGTTGTGCATGGCAATACTTGATTGATTGTCTGAGGAGTTATGAGGGGGACTGAAAGCTGTGTGATTGCAACTGACTTTGATGCAGGGCAGATCATTGATAGAATGGTTTGAAGAGGGTCGAGCCTAAGCTGGTACCCTATCTAAGAGCTGCAGAGAATTCTTGGGACGTGGATGACAAGTCTCTACTAGTATCTTTGTGCATTGAATATGACTACAGCTAGTCTAGCTGAGTGAACCACGCTGAGCTTTTCTGTGTCTTTGACCAAATTGAACAATATTAACTTCTCCTTCTTTCTTTGCAGCTCACCAAATATTGCAAAAAAATTTCATGCAGGACATTTGCGTTCAACAATTATAGGTAAAAATTTCCTTTTTACTGCAAGAATGTTATTGTATCTAGAATTATTTCAAAAGCCTAGTGCAGAACCCAAGTACACACTAACTCTGAACTGCATTAAATGTCCCAAAATGACTTTTTAAGATAAATTTCCTGATGTGCAAGGTGCAAGTTACAAGTTGCATTTCAAATTTTATCACCAAAAGTAAATTAAAAACCAAAAATGGATCAGCTGATTACTCGTAGAAGGTATTAAAATAAGCTAATCTCGCCTCTAATGCTACTCAGCAAGAATATAATAGTTTCTTACAAAGACCTTGAAAACTTATCAGGCAGACGGACAAAGTAGGATTCTGTATCCCAATTTTCTTCACACTGTCAGCACTAGGGCTAACCTGTTACTGCAGCTCTGCACTCTAATCCAAGGCTCTACCTTGTTCCTTGTCCTAGGAATTACACTGCAGTCATGTGCCTAGCTCAAATTGGGCTTGGGAGGTTCCAGTGCCTCCATTTTACTTTGGCTACTTTCAAGTGCAGAAGTAGATACATTTCCACGAGATGAATGTTGAGGAATTTGTCCTTTTGGTTCCATCAATGAAGTGTGGCAGCTGGCCCCTCGTTGACAGGAAAAGTGTGGATATTCTAGTGCCCGTGATACAGGAGCCAAGTCATTGCCTCTTGCTTTTCTGTTGCTAGTTTGAGGGAGATACTGAGAAACCGCTTGAGCAGTAATTACCAGCAGGCTCAGACAGATGGCACTTCAAGCTTTCTATAGATTTGGATGTCCGTTACATTAGATTGTACTTTGTGTGATTATTCAAAGTATCTTGGAGTGGACCTTCACAAAACTAACACTTTGTATTGATGATGCAAAAATAAAATTTCTCGAAAGAAAGAATAAAAAAACAACACATTTTAGTTTATAACTCACTCAAAGGTAGTAAGAACAGCCGATGCTGGAGGTACACAGCAGTCCAGGCAGCAGGAAAGCTGACATTTCGGGTCAGGACCCTTCTTCAGAAATGGGGGAGGGAGAAGGGAGGTGGAATGGTGATAGGTGAGTACAGGTAGGCAGTGGTGGGGATTGGTCAGTGAGGTGGGAGGAGCAGATAGGTGGGAGAGAAGATGGACAAGTTGTGTCAGGTTAAGGAGGCGGGAATGAGAGGAAGGGTTGGTTATGGGATGAGACTGGGGGATGGGGAGATTTTGAAACTAGTAAAGTCCACATTGGGACCCTTCAACCCAATGGTCTCAAAGTGGAATATGAGGTGCTGCTCCTCCAGTTTCCGGGTGGCGTCGTTGTGACACCAGAGGAGGTGCAACATGGACGAGGGGGAGGGGGAGGGGAAGTGGGAGTTGGAGTTGAAGTGGTTCACAAACTGGAGAAACTTGGCAAGTCTGGCAGCATTTGTGGAGGGAGGAACCAAGTTTTGAGCCCAGTGTGAAGTCCTTGAATTTGAAATGCTAACTGTTTCTTCCTCTACAGATGCTGCCAGACCAGCTGAATAACTCCAGAATTTTCTGTTTTTATACGTTTTATTGCTCCTGTTTGAGTAAATAATGTTGGCCTGGGCACTGGACAAACTCTCCTCATGATGTTTGAGTTCCGTGGGACCTTTGGTTGAGAAGGCCATCAATTCACTAGTTTAATGAATAATCGAAAAGATGGCACATTGGGGCAGTACAGCACTCTGTCTGACCTGCAGTGGAGCGTCATCCTGCATTGTGTCCTTGCCTCCAGAGAGTAGGGCTTGAGCCCTCTTACCCTGTGACTCAGATGGAGTGTTTCCAACAAGCGGAAGTAGTAAAGCAATATTTCACTATTTATTCTGAGAAAAACATAATTAATACAGCAGGGATAACATGTATTTTTTGTTGCACTATTCTGTCAGGTAACTTCATAGCTAATATAAGGCAAGCTTTGGGGAATGATGTGATCAGGATCAACTACCTTGGAGACTGGGGCATGCAATTTGGTAAGTTTTTAGGGCTGTTGCTAATTTTCAGTGTTTCATTGTGCTAACTAATATTTGAACTCTGAGGCAATGGTTATAAATGATTTTGAGCTACTGATCTAATGTTGACGGGAACTGTAGAGATTTTATTTCATTACAATATTTTATGTTCAAACATAGTCATAGATATCTACAGCAGGGCAGCAGATACAAGCGAACATTACCTGCAAGTTTTCCTCCAAGCCACCCACCATCCTGACTTGGAAATATGTCACCATTCCTTCAATGTTGCTGAGTCAAAATCCTGGAATTCCCTCCCTAATGTCATTGTGGGTCAATTGTAGGAGATGTATAGAATAATGAGGGGCATTGATAGGGCAGACAGGAAGAAACTTCCCTCCTTGATGGAGGGAGCATTGATCAGGGGACATAGATTTAAGGGAAGGTACAGAAGGTTTAGAGAAGATGCAAGGAAAAGCTTTTTCACCCAGGCAGTGTTGGGAATCTGGAACTCATTGCCTGTAAGGGTGGGAGACGTAGAAACCTTCCTAACATTTATGAAGTATTTAAATGTGCACTTTAGTCCTCAATAAAGGGCTCACCTTTGTCCCCCTCCACCCACACATCAACGAATACCGGTCACGTTTGGACATTGAGCAGTTTTTCTGCCGCCTCCGCCTCCGTGCCTGCTTCTTCAATCATGAGCCTAACCCTCCCCCTACTGACCCCTTCTCTTGCCTCCAACACACTCCCTCCTCCTGGATACCACCCCAAGGCCTCCTACCCTCCCTTGACCTCTTCATCTCCAACTGCCGTCGAGACATCAATCGCCTCAACCTCTCCACCCCTCTCACCCACTCCAACCTCTTCCCCGCAGAACGTGCAGCCCTCCGCTCCAATCCCAACCTCACCATAAAACCCACGGACAAGGGAGACGCAGTTGTAGTATGGCACACTGACCTCTACGTCGCCGAGGCCAGGCGCCAACTCTCCGACACCACCACCTACCGTCCCCTTGATCGTGACCCCACCCCCGACCACCAAACCATCCACAACCTCATCACCTCAGGTGACCTCCCACTCACAGCCTCCAACCTCATCGTTCCCCCACCCCGCACCGCCCGCTTCTATCTCCTTCCCAAAATCCACAAACCTGACTGCCCTGGTCGACCCATTGTCTCCGCCTGCTCCTGCCCCACCGAACTTATCTCCACCTATCTCGACTCCGTTTTCTCCCCCTTGGTCCAGGAACTCCCTACCTACGTCCGTGACACCACCCACACCCTCCACCTCCTCCAGAACTTCCAATTCCCCGGTCCCCAACACTTCATCTTTACCATGGACGTTCAGTCCCTATACACCTGCATTCCCCATACAGATGGCCTAAAGGCCCTCCGCTTCTTCCTGTCCCGCAGGCCCGACCAGTCCCCCTCCACTGACTCCCTCATCCACTTAGCCAAACTCATCCTCCCCCTCAACAACTTCTCTTTCAATTCCTCCCACTTCCTACAGACAAAGGGGGTGGCCATGGGTACCCGCATGGGCCCAAGCTACGCCTGCCTCTTTGTAGGTTACGTGGAACAATCCCTCTTCCGTAGCTACGCTGGCCCTAAACTCCACCTCTTCCTCCGTTACATTGATGATTGTATCGGCGCCGCCTTGTGCTCTCACGAGGAGCTCGAACTAGTTCATCCACTTCACCAACACCTTCCACCCCAACCTTAAGTTCACCTGGACCATCTCTAATACCTCTCTCTCCTTCCTGGACCTCTGTTTCCATCTCTGGCAACCGCCTAGAAACCGATATCCATTTCAAGCCCACCGACTCCCACAGCTACCTAGAATACAACTCCTCCCACCCACCTTCCTGCAAAAATGCCATCCCCTATTCCCAATTCCTTCGCCTCCGCCGCATCTGCTCCCAGGATGAGGCATTCCACTCCCGTACATCTCAGATGTCCTCGTTTTTCAAGGACCGCAACTTCCCCCCTCAGTGGTCGAGAACACCGTCGACCGTGTTTCCCACAACTCATCCCTCACACCCCCTCCCCGCAATAACAACCAAAAAAGAATCCCCCTCGTCCTCGCATACCACCCCACCAATCTCCGGATCCAACACATCATCCTCCGACACTTCCGCCATCTGCAATCTGACCCCACCCGCAAAGAATTTTTCCCTCCCCACCCTTATCTGCTTTCCGGAGGGACCACTCTCTCTGTGACTCCCTTGTCCGCTCCACACTCCCCTCCAGCCCCACCACACCTGGCACTTTTCCCTGCAACCGCAGGAGGTGCTACACCTGCCCCCATACCTCCTCCCTCACCCCCATCCCAGGCCCCAAGAAGACTTTCCACATCAAGCAGATGTTTACCTGCACATCTGCCAATACTGCATCTGCTGTTCCCGTTGTGGCCTCCTCTACATCGGGGAAACCAAGCGGAGGCTTGGGGACCACTTTGCAGAACACCTACGCTCGGTTCGCACTAAACAACTGCACCTCCCAGTCGTGAACCATTTCAATTCCTGCTCCCATTCCTCAGATGACATGTCCATCCTGGGCCTCCTGCAGTGCCACAACGATGCCACCCGAAGGTTGCAGGAACACTAACTCATTCCACTTGGGATCCCTGCAGCCCAATGGTATCAATGTGGATTTCACAAGCTTCAAAATCTCCCCTCCTTCTACCACATCCCAAAACCAGCCCAGCTCGTCCCCGCCTCCCTAACCTGTCCTTCCTCCCACTTCAAGCCCCACCCCATCTCCTACCTACCAACCTCATCCCGCCCCCTTGACCTGTCCGTCCTCCCTGGACTGACCTATCTCCTCCCTAACTCCCCACCTACACTCGCCTTTACTGGCTCCAACCCCGCCTCTTTGACCTGTCTGTTTCCTCTCCACCTATCTTCTCCTCTCTCCATCTTCTATCCGCCTCCCCCTCTCTCCCTATTTATTTCAGAACCTCCTTCCCCTCCCCCTTTTCTGAAGAAGGGTCTAGGCCCCAAACGTCAGCCTTCCTGCTCCTCTGATGTTCCTTGGTCTGCTGCGTTCATCCAGCTCTACACCTTGTTATCTCAGATTCTCCGGCATCTGCAGTCCCTACTATCTCAGGCTTTGGAGCAAGTACTTCTGTCTAGTTGGAAGTGTCTGTTATGACGCAGGTGGGACTTGAACCCAGCCCTGTGGCCCAGAGGCAGGGACACTACCACTGTCTCATATCCTGTTTTTCTTCTGCCTGTCATTTATGTTGCAAGTGGCTAGAGAGTGTCCGTCTTCTAGAAGATGGAGTCCAATGCTGCCTGTGCTGTTGCCTGGACTGGGTGATACGCATTGAATCTAAGGTATTGTGAATAGTTGTGAGCTAGGCATCTTGCCTAACGGATACAACAGAAACTTCAGGCCTTTTTTCAGTCAAGTTGTGTGTGTGAGTGATCTACAACAAGAAAATTATATATCCTTCTGTGAAGATAGTCTCCTTATTGCTGCATTGCTGTGCATCACAGTTGTGGTAAATTAGAAGGGCAAGTGGTTTTACATTTTTTTGGGTGTTTTGTTCCTTGTCAATGATTTTTAGGATTGCTTGGAGCAGGATTTCAGCTCTTTGGCTCAGAAGTGGAACTGAAAGCAAATCCGTTACAACATCTTTTTGAAGTAAGTAAAAATATAAATGAGTTATGGGGAGAAAGCAGGAGAATGGGGTTGAGAAACATATCAATCATAATAGAATGGTCTAATTCTGCTCCTTTATCTTATGATCTTATGGTTTTATGGATGTTTTTATTTTAAATGAGCTATAGAGGTTGTCTTCAATGCTGAATGTGAAATTTAAATTTGGAAATCCCAACAAGCCGTAGCAGTAAACGTAATGTTCAAGGTTGTAGACGTTTTGTCACCTTGCTAGGTAATATTGTCAGTGCGCCTCCGGTGAAGCGTTGGTGTTCTGTCCCACTTGTTATTTGTATGCCTCAGTTTGCTGGGATGGTTGGCATTACTTCCAGTTCTGTGTTTTGGTGGTTTCTATATCGGGTCCAGTTCATTGTGTTTGTTGCTGAAGTTCCAGTTGGAATGCCAGGCCTCCAGGAATTCCCTGCCTTGTCTCTGTTTGGCTTGTGCTATTATGAATGTGCTGTCCCAGTCGAATTAGTGTCCTTCTTTGTCCATGTGTATTGAGAACAGTGAGAACTGGTCATGTCTCACCAAGAGACATAATGTTCATAAATGAACCAGGGTACTTGCATGTAAACAGGGTACTTGATTTTGAAGCAAAACTCTGTGTTACTTATGCGAAAGGCCACTCACTGGCTCAGCTCATTTAATGAAGCCTTTCAAAGTTGAAGTCTAAGTTGCAGTCAAATTTGGCACAATAGATTTTTAAATTAAGAATGTAACAAGAAAGGGTTCATAGAAGTATGTTGATGGACAGATGAATGTGTGCCCACAGACATATACAAGACTGAGTATAGTTCAACCCGCTGCTGGGTCCACTGAATGGCCCACAGTTCACAAGGGTGGGACCTCCTGTTCCTGAAGTGTGCAAGTCCCACTCTCGCATCGTTAAGGCTGCCCCCCAACCAGTGTATTATTGCAGAGTGCTGCTTGTCTTAAATTGGTTGGTTTGTGCTTAGAGACTTCTGCCTGGTGGAGGTAGAACATGGTGGGTGGTAAGCAGTATGCCCCTGTTCCACCATCTATAAAACTTAATCTGAGAGGGGATTTAAAAAAAATGAGTTAACCTGAAATCTTAACCTAAGTTAAGATGGGTTGGGGGTGGCGTGGGGTGGTGGTGTGGTGGTGTGCACTGGTGATTATCTTTCAGGATTCTAGAGATTCTGGAATAGTGCATGCAAATTGGAAGAATACAAAAGTAACCTCACTATTTAAGGAAGGATGGAGAAAGAAAACCAGGACTATAGCCTGCTGTCAGTAGAAGGTAAATTGCCAGAATCCAAAATAATGATTGTGATAATGTGATAATGTGACACTTAGAAATAAGGATCTGACTGCGCAGAGTCAACCTGGATTTATAAAGGCAAATGATGTTTGTTGGAGACTTTTGAAGATGTTGCCAGCAGGGTGGATAAGGGGGAAACCCAATGGATTTGATACATTTGGATTTTGGGAATGAGGGGAATGTACTGACATGAATCGAGGGTTAGTTAATGGTAAGAAATCCTAGAGCAGGATTGAAGTGTTTAAGATCCTGATGGTCTCAAAGGTGGATGTGGAAAGGATGTTTTCTCTTGTGGGTCCATCCAGATCTAGGGGGCACTGTTTTAAAATTAAGAGTCACCCTTTCGGAATAGAAATGCAGAGAAATCTTTTTCTTCACAGGGTTGTACACCTTTGGAACTCTACCCCAGAAGATGTTGGAACATGGTCAATGAATATTTTTAAGACAAATATGGATAGATTCTTACAGACAAGTAAATCACAGACTCTCAGGAGTAGAGAGGAATGTGGAATTTGACTTGAAAGTAGATCAACCATGATCTTATTGAATGGCAGAGCAGACTTGATCTGCATGGTCTACTTCTGCTCCTATTTCATATATTTGTAGGAGTAAATGAGTTTTTCTCAGGTTGATGTGCCATGACTAGTGGAGTACTGCAGGGATCAGTATTTTGGGCCCCAGCTATTCACAATCTATATCAATGATTTAAGTGTGGGGACCCAATGTAACATTTCCGAGTTCGTGGATGATGCACAACTAGTTGGGAATGTGTGTTGTCAGGATGATACAAATGGGCTTCAAGGAGCTTTTTTAATAGGCTGAGTAAATGGGCAAGAATGAACAGATCGAATAATATGCGAATAACTGAAGTTATCCGCTTTGGAGGAATGGTGGGAAGTCGAGAAGGATTGGAGACCCAAAATGAAGTGAGAGTCCTGATTCACTAAAAGTTAAAGGGTAAGTGTAGCAAGCAATTATTAAGCTGAATTACAAGTTCATGTTTATTGTAAGAGGATTTCAATACAGGAATAAAGATATCTTCATTTGTATAGAATCTTGTTCGCAACTGCGTCTGGAATATTGTGCACTTGATTTGATCCATCTCATAGCCATTACAGGGGCATAGCTACAAAATAACAAGAAATGGGTTCCAAGTATTGAGGGGTACATGACGCTTGCTAAAGGTAGAGAGGTAGCACTCTTAATAAAAGATGGTATTAGTGCAATTGTTAGAGCCAGCCTCAGCTCAGGAGTTCAGAATGTAGCATTGGTTTGGAGTTGAGGAATAGTAGGGGAGAAGTCGTCACATGTGGGAATGGTTTACACAACCCTCCTAACAGTAACCATGATGTAGGTGGATTTGTACAAGAAGAAAAGTGTGCTTGTGGTAAAGGGAGGGCAGTAATTAGTTTCCAGAAATCTACTGGCTTGTGTCTTGGAATATTCTTGATGACTGAGCTAGCACAGTCTTATTGGGTGGAGAATTCCAAAGATTCACCACCCTTGGAGTGAAGAAATCCATTCCAATCTCAGTCCTATATGGCCTTGTGTTCATTGATCTCATTTCCATTAATAGATTCCAACATGTTTTAATTTCAAACTATCACGTTTCTAGTTCTCCATTTTCTGCCTCTCTCCCTTCTGAAATAGTGAGGTTACATTTGCTACTTTTCAGTCTGTAGGTGCCTTTCCAGAGTGTCTCAAATTTTGAAAGGTAAACCAACAATGCATTTGCTATCTCTGTTGCCACCTCCTTCAACACTTGAAGTAAGCTCATCCAATCCAGGGAATCAACCTTTTAATTACAGTTAACGTTTAAAGGCCTCTTTACGAATACTAATTTCTTTCAGTTCCCCAATTTTGAAAGACCTCAACTGGCTAGAGATTTTCTGTATCGACTTCCATGAAGATCAACGTAAAGTAGTTTGGTTTTTCTGCCATTCTCATTATAAATTCTCCTGTTTCAGCCTGTGACAGGCCCACATTTGTCCAAGTAATCTTTTTCATCACATTCCAAAAGAACCTTGTGTTGTGTGCTTTTTATGGTTCTCACTAACTTGCATTCATATTCTGTTTTCCCTTTCTTTATCAGTTTCTTGGTCATCCTTGTGAATATAGGCAGGGCTTGAGGTTGATCGATTAATTAATTAACTGGTTAGATATAAAGGAAGCACAAGTAGGAGTGGCTTAAAAGAACTATAGGACTGAGTAGTTAATGAATTCTATCCTCAAAAAAAAGGGTGTCTTGGTTTGTCTCTTACCAACCGGATCTAAGGTGCTCCACAGGGAGAAATGAGAGTTCTTGAGTTGGAAGTCGGCATTTTTATGATTGGAGAAGATCGGAGTTTGGAAACTCAGCTCGAGATCTGGTAAGGTTCCGTGATTATGAAGTTCTTGTTTTGAACAGAGACAATAAGTATGCAAAGGGGTTGAATATGGTGTGGTGGCAAGGGTACAAAGCCTAATGAAACATCAATTATGATTCATTGATAAACAAATGCCTGCAATTGCATTTTTTCCTTTCAATTCTATATTTCTCACCTATAACTTTCTGTCCCCCTTCTTTTTATTTTATTATTGGAAAGTCACTGACTGGGAGCATGAAATTAAAATCCCAAGTTTGGCATCAGCAGACCATCTTTTGCGTAATGTAAAAATAGAAAAGTGGTATGGGTTACAAAACAAACAATTGTTAATGGAGAGCAATTGTGAAAGTTAGATACAAAGCAGCTAGTCCATTACAAGAGGTTAAGCACCAACAAAAGTCCTAATACAACCAGATCATCAGCATTAAATGGTCTTGTATTTGCATTGCAGGTTTATGTTGAAGTGAATAAGATGGCAGAAACCAGCGAAGACATTCACAAAGCAGGACAAGAGTTCTTCAAGAAACTAGAGGGAGGGGATGAGCATGCCTTGAGATTATGGCAACAGTTTAGATCGATAAGCATTGAAGAATACAAAAAAATTTATCAGGTGTGAAATAATGGATTCCAGTTGTACCTGCTATACTGGTGCATATCAGCCATTGTTCTACTGTAACCAGGTATCTTGCCCCACTCCTAGCCCGCAAAGCATGGTGAGCAGATGTTTGCTGATGTAGCTAACTAACGAAACATCTCTGCATCATAAGTAGGCCTGAAGTATAACCTTGACCTATAAAAATGCTGATGCAGGGCAGTCTAAATAATATTATTTTGTTGATGTTGATTGTCCTACCTATTGCACTTGGGATTGCCACAGCTACAGCCATGAAGTGAAATGGGTTGCAGTATGGGACATGAGTGAATCAGGGTATGGTGATGTAATCCAGTGTCCATTTTAAAGTCCTACAATCTGTAATTATTATATAATATTTAGATATTATCTATAAATTAGGAGAAACAGCAATTTTGAGATGCTAATAAATAGTTGATTGGAATACCAGTGTGTGTCTGCTGTATAGACTAAGGAGTTGGGGAATCAGAAAGGCACCACAGAGCGACTAATATTGAGAGGGCGTGGTTACAGCATAACATTTATAATAGAAGTTATAATAGAAAAAAGTGACAAAAGTGAAAGTGTTTCCAGTGTGTAAAATGTTGAATTTTGCTCATTTGGCCATTTTAAATTTGGTTTTGTTCGTTTCACAGCAATGTTTTTATACATAAAATCAAACGTTCCTATTGCCCCATTGTATCTAGAGGAGTCCCTTTTGATAAGTAAAAATGGTACAACAGAGGGACAGTATCTGTTTCAAGTAGGTAGGCTGTCTAACTACGGAATAGCTGAATTTAAAGTCTTTGACAACAGGGCTGCGCTTTTTAATAGATGCAGCTTAATGAACAGAAATTTAATTTCTAATCATGTTCACATGTAATGATTCAGCCTGGGGAAGAATGTGCCAAAAACAACAATTAATGGCCATCATCCCATTGTCATATACTATTACCTAGTATACCCAAGTAGGGAGCACCAATCTTCCAGCAAAAGTAAGAGAAAAGGATCAGGAGAGGTTAATTCAGAATTATCGACTATGCTGCTATTAGTGCCCCCTCGCCCCACTTTTAAAAGACATAAAAGAAGTAGGTTTTGCCTGTGTGGTAGATTTTGCATGTCATGAACTCGTTCTTCATGTATTCATTGCATCTATTGTATACAGTGTATCCTCCCTCATTGTGTCTTATTGACATTGTCTATAGAATGCTAGCATTGTAAGTCTTTTAGGAATTGTCTCTTTTTTGTGTGTGTGTGTATTTTATGTGCATGCCTGTTAGCTTGTTGGGTGTGTTTGGATGTATGCAGTTTTGGCTTTGTGTGCAAACATGTCATCTATGTAGAAGTCCAGAACTGATAAGCTTGCATGGTGATGTAACCTAAGTGGCACTATATGAGAATGCAGTGGGCCTTCCATTTAAAATCATGATTACAAAGTTAAAACTAAAATGCTTTGAAAAACCCTGAACAGTTATATTTCTTTTAATTCAAAATATCAATGCATTGTTCACTCTGCTGACTAATGGAAATAATAAATGAATTTATATTCAGTATATTTTGTGATCAAGTAACTTTGAACATTTGAATTAAATTTCTAAAATGTTTTTGATACCGTTGCTGCAAAATGCTGGAGGTTGATCTAAACTGGATTGTGTTTTGTGACTTTGGTGTGAGACCTGATTTGAAAGTAGTCTTTTACAGTTAATCTAATTGTTTAAATTGTGTATTCTGATAGCGGCTTGGTGTGCATTTTGATGAGTACTCTGGAGAATCATTCTACCAAGAAAAAACACAGGAGATTCTGTGGCTGCTGGATCAGAAAGGACTACTCAAGAAAACAACGTACGGTTAGATTTCAGTGGCCATACTTTATAAATCTACATGCGTACTAACATCAGAATCACAAATAGAAGTAAGCCATTCGGCTCCTTGAACTCAATCTGCCATTCAATAAGATTGTGGCTGATCTGTCTACGTTTCAAGTTCCACATTCCCATCTATCCAGTAACATTTAATTATTTTGCTATCCACCTCCTCCCTAAAAATATTTAATTGTCTTACCTTCAGCATCATCTAATACAGAGAGTTCCAAAGTTGTACAACTCTTGGAGCGGAAAAAAAAATTCACTTCCTCTCTGGCCCAAAAGTGTGACTGATAATTTTAAAACAGTGCCCAGTAGCTCTGGACTGACCCTTTCCACGTGCACCTTATTGAGAACCATCCAGGATCTTATACACTTCAATCAAACCAGCCTTCACTCTTTGGCAGACTTCAGTGGAAACTAGCCCATCTGTCCAACCTGTCATCAGAAGACAACTTGCTCATTCTATCAATCTAGTACACCTCTGAACCTCCTCCAATGCATTTACGTCCTTCCTTAAATAAGGAGACCAAAACAATATTCAAAATGTACTGTTATAATTGAAGCATTAAGATCTTTTTGGGTTTTTGTGTTCATTTCCTCTTAGTATTCCGTAATTCTTTTTATTTACTTACTGTAACTGAATGCTAACTTCTTGTAACTCATTCATTTGTTCATACTTAGAGCCCTCTGCACCATGGAATTCCACAGTCGTTCTCTGAGTAATATTCTGCTTTTTATTAACTCTTCCAACCAAAATGAACAACTTCGCATTTTCCCACATTGCTTTCCATCTGCCAGATATTTGCCCACTCTCTCTCAACCCATGTATATCCACCTGCATCCTCCTTATGCATTCTTCAAAATGTACTTTACAACCTATCTTTGTGTCATCAACAAATTCAGCTGCCATGCCTTTGCACCTGCCCCATTGATATTGCTAAAGGTTGAGGGCCCACCACAGGCCCCTGCAGGTCTCTACTTGTCACATTCTGCCAATCAGGCAAAGATCCATTTTTGCATATATATCTATCTGTTTTCTGCCAGTGACCCAGTCGTCTTTCCATGCTAATATATTACCCCCTACGATATGAGCTCGTCCTTTGTATAAATCTTACCGCAGGACATGATTTGATATTTTAATAAAAAGACTGCTGAAAATGTGCAAATATTTAGTCAACATTTGAAAAGAAGTTCTCTTGGGTTGACATTCTTCAGGACTAAGAAAGGAAATCTAGATAGTTACTTCTAAGTGGATGTAAAGTTTCTCAGTTCTGGAGCATGGGGGCTGAGCCCGTCGAAGCCATGAGACTGTAATTTAAAGTGACACTACAGAACTTCAGCACGTGTTCTCCTAAATCATTTGAAGAATGTTAAAATGATCCATGATTCTCCCCAGACATTTAACCATATTGATCTCATTACACTGTCCTGAAAATGTCAAAAGTCCCATGACACCAGGTTATAGTCCAACAGGTTTATTTGAAACCATAAGCATTCAGAGCGTAGCCCCTTTGTCAGGTGACAGGACTACACTACGAAAGCTTGTAATTTCAAAAAAACCTGTGTACGATAACCTGGTGTCGTGTGACTTCTGACTTTGTCCACCCCAGTCCAACACCAGCACCTCCACATCACATCACTGCTATGAGTATTCACGCAACTGAGCTTAGACTTTCTCCGTTTCAAATAACCTTTTTGGGGTACTAACCAAATAATTCTGATCTGGAACTTTCACACTACACTAAGGTAACCTGTTTTCTAACTTTTCTGAACTAACTACTTTCTTGAGGAGAAACTGCTTCATACACCAAACGTCAACTAGGACTTCTGCAAACTGAAACTAAAAGCTTTTCAAGCTATGGATACTTTCTTAAGCAAAACAAAAATCAATTCCTGATCCTCTAACTGAGCGCTAACAACTAGTGCTCTTCAACATTTATTCTGTCCACTCTTTAAAATTCTGTCAATGCAAACCAGTTAGCATTACCGCTACAGGAAGTTTCTCTCATTGTCTCGTTTCAAAAGAAAACAATGGCTCCAGAACTACTGACCAGTAAAATGATATTTTAATATATATAAATTGCACACCTTGCATCTCAAAATCGAGACTTTGCCTAACATCGCACATGAAACAGCATCAACCTTATCTTAAGTGGTCTTTTTTTCTTGTTGAATGCTCATCTGTCAAAACTATCAGAATCCTTCATATAAAGTGGTGTATGACACATCCAATTTTCTTTTATTTATCCCTTGACAATAACAAAATTATGCAAACAAAGTAATAGAAGATTTGCCTCTTTTTCTCTAAAGGCAAGGAACTGGAGTAGTAGAACTTTCACCAAATGATGATCTTGCTGTTTATGCCAAGATGGTTCGCTCTGATGGAACAACCCTTTACTTGACCAGGTAATTTTTTTCCCCATTTTTGATGTTTTTAATTAATATACCTGAAAGTATTGGTGACATTTATATTATCCATTCAAATATCCATATCTGCTACTATTGCATTGGGTAAAGCTATACCTGACCAGCTGCATGTCCGCTCTGGCAATACTTCATTTTCTATAGGTTTCCACATTTAGGTTTTTGAAGGGAGTTATGAAATGGCTGTAATTATAGTCAAGTTCAGTGTTATTAGTGAAGAAAAACCTGGCTATCACTGACTAGTACCACGAGCCAATTCGTTGACCTGCGTCTAAATTTATAAAATTGTACTTGTTCTGCATAGATTAAAGTAAAACTTAAAAAGGTTGAAGTTGGAACATTTAGCTGTAATTAACTATTGACCCTGTGCATCAGTAAGAATGCTAATGTACCAATACTCCACAATGGCGTTACAGTGCTTAGGCCGATGTTCACTCTCTTGTGCAGACGGTTCTCAATCATGACATTGTGCATAGAAGTGTGTAAGAGATGTGATGAACTGCTTTCTCCTTGTGAAAGAACAAATTCAAGCAAAAACTTACTAAGTCCTTCAAGATGGGAAATGTGATGTGTTTTTGTGGGAAGACATTTGAAAAGAAACGGTTAGTTACGTCACTGAAGCACTAAGATAGTTAAGCACAAACTTATGATCTTTCGCATGTATTTATTAATTCTTGACTGGTAGTTTTCTTAGCTATTACAAAACAAGTCCCCATTGACGCACTGTGCAATTACCTCTCAACTGACTCGTGCTTTTTTTGAAAACGTCTGAGAGGAATGAAGTAGTTGTACCACTATGTTTCCACTGTGAATCAGAAAATAAAGATTTTTAAAAGTGTGTGACTGTCAGATCCTCACTCCAAAGTCTAGTGTGTTGTCAAATTAAATCTTACCAAGTAGAATTTTTGTATAAAAAGAGCTGGTCTGAAGATTGTTGTAATGGACTGAATGGTCAAAATATTTTGATGTGAACATGCTCCTGACCTGATATCCTGGGGAAGATTTTTACACTTTCCACACACTAAAGCAATTGAAGAGGAAGTCCCATCACTACCACCAGCTTCTTGAGGGAAAACTGGAGTGAGCAAAAACACCGGTTGAGAAATGGAAATGAGTTTTCTTTTACAGTTTTTTCCTAACTGCCCAGTGTGATTAGAAATGACCAATTTAAGAAGCTGCGTGAATACAATTTGAAGTTATTGATAGGCCGTATCGAATATGTTCAATCAGTGTAAATAGCGCAGTATAGCCAAAATGGTTATAGCATAGAATTAAAACGAAGTTGTGCTGCGATCACTAGATCTGTGATCAACCCACACGGAGCACTGAGGCATTCTCTTGTCACTGAGATATAAGGAGAGTTTGAGCCCTAGAAAGTTTGGATGAGAAAAACCGGACCAGAGAGCTGAATTTGGAAAGGAAGACTGCAGCAACTCTTGAGTATTCAGCTAGAATGACATTGGGCGTGACATCAAAAATAAATAATCATGTGGACCAGTAAATTATACTTGAAAGTTAACTCTGAAACATGATTTAATGGAATGGTGGCAAAAATGCTGAAATCGATTATTGGTAAGAATAATTGAGCAGCTGTAAAAAGTGTTGTTAAATCAGGTCATGTAGAATTTTTGTGAATGAGTTGCATTGTTTAGGTTCTTGAGTTGCCAAAATGACACGGCAGTTTGCCACTTCGTTTGAATATCTGAATGGTGTGGACTACAAACCAGTGAGCTTTCCAGAGGCACATTTAGTGCATTGTCTGTGCTGTTCACCGCTGACTTGATCTCATGAGAATTTTGAATTATATTTTCCCCATCCGCATCATGGGTAATATGTTTAATCGGATAAGCAGAAAGTTCATTGTGTAAAATCTACCACTTTGAACATCCACCAATGAAAATAATTAGATATGCTTTTAACAACTGGTTTATTTTTAAATGAAAGGAAATAACTGCACCCACGCTTTCCTCCCCAGTCACCCTCTTCCCCTAGAGCTTTCAATTAGGAGATGCGTAGCAAACCTAGACCATTCGGCAGTTCATTTACATTGAGAAGTGGCATCCCTCTATATTTATCTTCTGCCTTCGTACCAACCGGAGTCCTGTACATCCTGGTGTTTAAATTAAATCAGGTTGGAAATTTGATATGTTCTGTGGAAGCATTGTTCATTGCCTTCCCAGAGCATGTCTAATTTGAGACCACAGACAACTTCATTACTGCACAGGCATTTTCAGTTTTTCATTCAACAACGTTTGGGGTGAGTCTGCATCAATTTCTAAAATGATGTAGTAACTCAACAGTTCAAATAACTTGAATTGGCATTTTCAAAAACACATTTCCCTTGCTATTACCAGTATCTCCCTAAAAAAAGCGTATCCTTCTCTGCCAACGTGTTGAATTAACATGGAGTCTTACACATGAGGTGCTACGTATATGTGGGTGAGGTGGTGCCTGGAAACAAAAGCAAAACAATTCTCTGTTGGTGTTCTGAATTTTTGTTGTATCTTTTAACCATTGTAAAATATTTAGTGCAAGTCATTGTTTGCTTGAATGAAAATGAAGAGGCTTATGAATAATTTGCAGATTTACAGATAATCCCATTAAATGCCTTTGCCAGTCCATTTTCCAGTAGGTGAGCAGACCCTTTTTAATAGCTGTAATATTTGCTTACTTGAATTAATGTTCATGCGATGAGTTGCTACATCATTAAAGTAAAACCAACTTTTATCGTGTATGGGCATGGTGATATTTTAAAGGCATGTAATTAGAAATGTGTGTCTTAGTGCAGTACTGGAATTTATAATTATAAGCTTTCTGCTCTTTATTGGTTGGGGGGGTGCATTTCAAACACATTGGGAACTTCTTCGAGCTAAAGAAAATATGCAAACTGTATCTTCACTTGGAAATGTTAATAGATAATGAAAGGAAACATCAGCTATTTTTCCACTGGCAGCTGAGAGGAAGGTCTTTAATCCTTCACTGAACTTAACAGGAAATGATCAAAGTGGAAGGACGTTACAAATATCCCTTGCATCATATGTTATTATTTCATTTATAATGACGTGTTATCAGAAGTTGCTACTATGTGGCCTGTTTTATTTCTACATTTCTATTGCTGTTTAAAGCAGCAGATTGATGGGTTCTGTGTTAATTTATAGACTAGCTTTGTAAAAATAGACAATTTGGATCTTCTGATGTTAACTGTTTTCCCCAGTTTCCTGGATAAGAGAGTACAATAGTAATCATCTTCTGTGAACGACACCCATTGACTTTTAGAATTAACATCAGAGCATTGATTTCTATATTAACTTTACATTTTGTTTGAACACTGCATTATTTCTGCTCGTGTAAACTAATGAAAGCATTTTGTTTGCGATGGTATTGTTTAAATTTGAACAACTGGTCTGTATCACCCCAAAATTGAGATGCGGCTTTTTGAAGAGTATCAATGTTTGCAGAAAATTTACCCCAAAATTTGAAAACAATTGTTTGCTTATGACTGCTCTCCTTTCCCTATGTTTTGGATAATTAATAACAATAAATATGCAATTCACCACATAATATGATGTTATCCTAGTGCCAGAGGCATGAGGATCTTTTGCTCCTTTATATTGTGAAAGAGAATACCAATTTGTAAAATTCAGTACCTGATTTATCTGATGGAAGGCTTTTTGATTTTCAGACAACTAAACTGTTGAAACAACAGATCTCATCCATGGAAATAATTGCTGTTCTTTCACTATTTTGTTTGCAGAGATGTTGCAGCTGCCATAGATCGAATGGAGAAATATAATTTTGACCAAATGATTTATGTGGTAGGTAACTAAAGAGTTTTAACAAGAACTGCTCTTGGGAACCAAACTGTTTGAGAATTCATGTAATTGCTGCAGTTTGGTTTTTAATTTGAATGTACAGTCATTATTTCCAGTTCCTTTTTTTAACTGGACTACTCACAAAAGTTTGAATAATATCAAGTTAAATGGAAGCTCTGATGAAACTTTAAATATTAAACTATCTTGATAAAATTTGACCCACTATTTTTGACAAATATTTGCCTCTGCTTTAGTATGAAATAGTCAGAATAAAGCCACATGACTTGCCTGGCACAATACATTGTATTGTCAGTATTAATTTGCAGGAATTCATAAATTATGTGCTAGAATGGGTTGGTTTTAATTTTAAAGGCTTCTCTGAAACTTCATTCTCCTGTTTTTCCCATCCCCACACACAAAAAAAAACTCACCGAGCTCACTTTTGAGTGATTAGTTTGGTTGTGGGATTGTGAGCCTTAATTTGATTACTAAAGATGTTCTGTCCGATGAGACTTTCAACGTGAAATATAAGAACTCTGCCTGACTTGGGTCAGCAAGTGTATTCCTATTTAATAAAAAAAAAACTGAAAGGTCAGGTCTTCAGAACCAAATATTGTTGATAAGGTAAAAGACTACCCTGACTATCCATTCTTTTCAGTGAGAACTGCAAGTAAATTTGCAAATGAGCCAAATGTGCTTCACAGAGACATAATCAGACAAAACAAAGGCTCTTAACCAGGTAATAATAGTGATGAAAAGACTGGTCAGAGGTAGATTTTAAACACATCATAAAGGAAAATAAGGAGGCAGAGGGGATTAAGGGGATTCCAAAGAATGATACCCTGGGAGACTAAAACCAAGCACCAGTAGCTGAGGGAGGTGACAAGCTTGCACATAAGACCAGAACTGAAGGTATGGAGAATTCTAGTGGGTTGTAGACACTATGAAGCTGCAAGACCACGATGGGGGCGATTTTTAATTTTGATGTGTTGAGAGATTGAGGGCTAATGTAGCTTGGTGATCTGCCATGATTGGTGAACAGGACTTGATGTTGGATGATATATGCACTGCAGAGTTTTAAATTTGTTTAAATTAAGTTTTAAAGTAGTGTGCAAGATGAGACAGAGATGGAGATGTTACAGCACAGCAGTCAATAGCTAGACCCAAGTGATCCCACAACTAACTGTTCCAGTCTAATCTCTGCACTCTTGCCACATATAGTTGTGAATGGTGCTAGCAGTTAAGCAATAAGAAAAAAATCGTTGATTTTCCTTTTCATCATCCTCAATGATGACAGTTCCAGAGACCTGAGCAGAGAAGGCAAGAATTTCAATCATCATTTGTCTGGAATTGTCAGTGGCTTTGTATCTCATGGTAGGCACCTCAGGACAGATCTTCAGCCAATGCAGTAACAAGTAACTGATTACATGGAACAAGTTGCAGACTAACCCAAATGCATGTGTTCCACAACTAGCTGCACCCTGAGCCAAGCAATTCCAATACGTCTACTTGGCATACAGGGAGTTGCTTGCATATTTCCTGTTCAGAAATATCCAGACACATTCCAATCTGCCAGTGTGTACTAGGTCATCGGCAAGCTGATGAGAATGAGCTGTTACTCTCGGATTGCCTTTTCACCAATACTGAGGTTGTGTTTTGTGGCTAATGTTTGGCTCCAATCCTCACTACAGCCTTGGTCCAAAAACAGGAAGAGACAGGGATATGGATGTGTATAGTGGAAGGGATGGTGCAGGGTCCAGTAATTCTTTGTGGACCCCAGGAAAACTGGGTAGGGAAAAAATCCATTACTTTGCAATGATTTAACGCTTCAGGTTAGAACCAAGCAACTGATATAGACACCAAATAGTAACTTCGTTTTCAACTCCATCACAAAGCAATAAAAATTTCAGTGTGAATTACACATTGACCCACGTTTTGTTGACAGACAAATTAATGGTGCGCACTGTTTGTATGCCTACTCTTACAAAATATGACAGGGTTTTACACTACAGTTTGCAGTAATTTAGAAACTAATTCCTGTCTGATCCTATACTGAGGATCTAGGACCTGTGTAGACAGGGCTAAATACGTATTATCTTTTCAATCAGTCAGATTGAAACATGTAGAATCTAAACCAGGAAGTGTAAGTTAGAATATTTAATTCCATGTAAAATCATTTACAGAAAGCAAAATAAAGAGCGAGAAAGAAAGATGGGAGTTGGAGAGAGTTAAGAAACAAAGAAAAGGTAAAATTTAACTTTTGTTTTAAATCTCCAATAATGTTTAAAATCTGAGGGAATGACACTCTACTTCTGCAAAAGTAAATTGGCAGGGCCAAGGAGATGGCTTGTTAATAATTATGGCTTATCATTCTGTTAAGCATGCACTTAACTTTTTCTCCATTTAATAAGTGTCTGATAGATAACTACTGCAATTACATGTTCTTTTGTGCGTGAGGATAGTGAGACTATTGGTCGGGTATAGAAAAGCTTCCAGAGGAGCAGGGCAACTTGAAAAGCAATTTTCTGATGTCTGTTTAACTGCACATGTGCAGTTTAACATTAGTAAATGCTGCTAGTCTCACCATTATTCTTACTGCAAAACTCAGACCATTTGTGGTCTTCTAGTTCATGCAAAAGTGTAGGATGATGGAACATATGATAAAATTTTCTATTTTTAAGAGCAGAAGCTATATTTCAGTGACATTGAAAATTTTGAAAGCCCATGACCAAGTGAAATACGTGGTATTTTACACATTTCTGAGACCAGGGAAATGCCTTGTGTAGGAGCAATGGGAAATGTTATTGGAAGTGTAATGATTACAGAGACTAATAGCAAGACTTCATTCTAATCAGGATGTCAGATTTGACTTGTTTAATCGTAATTCTATTGTCAGGCCTTGAAAATTGCAGTTATGAGAAAAGATTGGATGGGTTAGAGTTGTTTCCCTTAGAACAGAGGAAGCTGGGGATGGGGTGATGTAGTTCCAGCATGCAAAGTAACGAAGGGCTTGGTTGGAATGAAACAGGGAAGATGTGCTTTCCCTTCTGGAGAGGACAGTTTCCAGAGGGTACACATTCAAGGTGACTGGTAAAATGATTAGAGAGGACATGTGGAAAATTTCTTTATCCAGAAGGTGGTGGCTGTCTGGAATGTGCAGCCCAGTTTGGTTGAGGCAGAAACACTCAATTCCTTCCAGAAATAAAAACCGAAAGAAGTGCAGATACTGTAGATCAGGAACAAAAGAAAAGTGCTGGAAAAACTCAGCAGGTCTGGCAGCATCTGTGAAGGAAAAAAGCAGTTAATGTTTCAGGTCCGGTTCTGAGGAAGGGTCACCGGACCCGAAGCGTTAGCTGAGCTTTTCCAGCAACTTTGTTTTTGTTCCTTCCAGAAATACCTGGATCTGCACATGAAGTGCTGTAACCTGCAAGGCTAGTGCCAAGGTGCTGGTAAGTGGAATTAGAATAGGCATCTAGTTTGTTCAAGCTGGTGCAGACACGACTGGCTGAATGGTCTCTTTCTGTGCTGTCTTTTCTGTGGTCCAATATAAAAATATAGTCCCCTGCAAATTATGACTAAGTCTGAAAATCTGTCATTAAAATGTGAGAGATTGAGAGATGTAGGGAGACCACCTTAGTTCATTTTTTTTTGAGCTCACAATAAGAATACTTCCTGTTCCAAAACCTTATTTCAAATGATGTTCAGTCACTGCTGTGAAATGTGTGACAGTTTGATAAAATGTCAAAAATATTATCATATGAGTTTTCAACTAATTTTCAATTCTCTTTTGCCCCTTCATGTTGTTTTGTTTTCTCCTGTCTTGGCTCATCTTTGGTCACTCTAGAATTGAGATGGCAGGCATGCAGTTTTACCAATGTTAATCTGAAATTTGTAGAGAAGCAGCTTGCTTTTTTTTTTTCTTTAATTCTCCTTGTTGTAAAATATCTCATATTTCAATTGCATTTCAATTCCATTCATGGAGGTACTTCTTAAATTCAGAACTCAAGTGAGGAGGTGCGGATGCCAACATTATATTCAAACTGTACAGCTATATATCTCCTAGATTTTTAATTTCAATAGGTATTTGCCTTCTCGAGTTGCTCAAATGTTGACCACTTATGAAACTGAATCATTCTGCTCAGGAAAAATTGTTTTTGTTTATGTTTGCCACAAGACTTTGCTCGTACATTGGAATAGCTAGGAGCACAAGGTGATGCCTTACTGGAGCATTTATGTTTCAGCAATTTTTCAAAGAAGCAACTTGTGCTGTGCTTTTGGGATACCTCTTGGAATTGGATCGAAAGGGTCATGTTTGAGGCTTTCGGGCTTTGGTGTAGAGTCATACAGCATGGAAACAGACCTTTGGTGCAACTAATCCACGCCAACCATGTTCCCAAACTAAACTAGTCCCATCTGCCTGCCGATATCCCTCCAAATCTTTCCTGTTCATGTACTTATCCACATGTCTTGTAACTGTACCTACATCCATTGTACCTAGCAATTTGTTCCACGCACTAACCACTCTGTGTTAAAAGATTGCCCTACATGTCCTTTTTAAGTCTTTCTACTCTCATTTTGAATGTACGCCCTCTAGTTTTGAACTCTTCAGCCCCCACCCCCGGCCCTCACCTAGGGAAAAGACGCATGCCATTCACCTTGTA